CATTTGTCAATATAGACAGCTTTATTGCAAGACCGCATGGTGCTGGCAAAGGTACATACAGTGTGAGTCAGAAAAAAGTTTACACCTAGAAAATTGCTAATTATTTTAAAAATCATCTATGACCAGTAAACTATTATACATCTTATGAAAGAGTGTTTTATCCCAAAACATTTGGTATCGTATTTGTGTGGTATGTGTTTTACGCTTGGATGAACAGGAGGCATTGTTTGCGAGAGTGCAAAAATCAATTTGCGCCAAAGTTGCTTGTTGAATAAAAACAATTGTGATTTGGGTATTAATTCGGTCTTTTCAGATCCAAATAACATCCCTAACAAAATTAATCATGCCACACATATAAATATCAACGAACATTTGTGCGCGTGTGTGTGTGTGACTTTGCTTCTGCAAAATATCATATGCAATCCATTTATTTGATACATTCAATTCATTCTCTCACTCCGCTAATCCCAACATAATGCATGCTGTATAGGCATCACCTCGGCGCAAGTCGATTTTAGCACTCTCACAAACAATGCCTCATGTTCATCCAAGCGTGAACACATACCGCACTAATAAATACTAATAGGTGAACGAGTGTATAAATACATGGTAGTTTAAGGGTGAAGCTCTTGCTATTTTTGTAGGGCTTTGATGCCAATTTGTAAAACAACAGGATATAGCTCCTTGGATATAGTATGGCTTCATTTTTCCAACAATAACTCAAGTTAGCCTTTCTTTTCAAGTGCTTCAAATACTAGTGCTTCAAAACTAATGCATCATGACGTGCGCAAACAAAACATGTTTTTACATATGATGACGTTACAAAAAATTGTCTGACCTAGATAGGAATGGCTTACGCCGAAAGGGTGGGTAGCGTCGCGTCGCGTTGACTTGAACGCGACCATTCGTCCAAAGCAACCCCCCCCCCCCCCCGGTTTGGCCAAAAGGGTGCGTGGGGAGTGTCGCGTTGACTTGAACGCGACCATTCGTCCCCCCCCCCCCCCTCGGTTTGGCCGAAAGGGAGCGTTGACTAGTCTTGTAGATCAGGCGTTTGTAAGAATAAAATCAATAAATAACAAGAAACACAATCAAATAATTTACTTTGATATTTAAAAATGACAAATAAAGGTGTTTACCTAGTCTTGCATATCAGTCGTTTATTCATATTAAAATAACAAAAAATAATATCCATGGTATTAATACACTCCAGGCAAAATCGATGATCTCCCTCTTTCTGATTTTGTCTCCTACTTTGATGATAATCCCATGTTTTCTTCTTCCTCTTCTTCTTCTCCCTTTCCCTCGTTTTTTCCCTCTCTCTCCCTCTCTCTCATCTTTTATTTGTCCCTCTTGTTAATATTTTATTCTGATCCTATCTCCTTTATAATTAATCTCCTTACACAATAATATATCCATCAATAACGTAATCTGTATCGTATATAGACCTCCAAATAATAACAAGAAAGTCTTTTTGGATGATTTCAATAACCTCTTTCACAAACTAAATCTAGAAAATAAAAATATATATATCATGGGGGACTTCAACATTGACTTGCTCTGTGACAACGATATTACTGCTGATTTAAATACACTGTTAAATGTTCATGCTATGTTTTCTACAATTACAAAACCAACAAGAATAGATATGAATACTAGTACTCTAATTGATAATATATTTACCAATGTTTCTGATAATAACATTGAAGAATGGCTCATTTATTCTGAAATTTCAGATCACCTACCCATTTTTTTGCTCTTTTCCAATTGTATTAAAACTAAAACTAAAATGAAAATGGTTGAAGTTCGTAAATTTACAGAGGATAATATTGGCAAGTTTAAAACTGATTTGATGTCGGAAACGTGGAATGATGTTTTAAATTACAATGAAATTTATATTGCATATCAGAGGTTTTTAGAAAAATTAACAAACTATTTGAATATAAATATACCAAAAGTCCAAAGTAAATCTCGCAGAAATTTACCCAAACATCCTTGGATTACTAGAGGAATTCTGAGATCTATTAAACAAAGAAATAAGCTATATAAGAAAGCCATTGTAACCCTACAGATAGAAAGAAGCAGGAATATAGGCAATATAGAAATAAGCTAACACATATTATTCGTATATCAAAAAGAATGTATTACACCAAACAGTTTGAACAGGCAAATGATTCTTCCTCCAAGTGAAAGATAATAAATGGTATTCTGAAAAGGGTGAATGTTTCTCATTCAACTGTGTTTAGGCACAATGATATTACTGTAAATAATAATGTTTTAATAATTATTTTTCAAACATTTTTGCTGAACAGGCTTCGAAAATTAAAGGGTGTAGCAATAGTTTTCGTGATTCTCTTTTTGATTCTTCTGTAAATAGTATTTTCTTTAACCCTACAAATCCAGTTGAGGTAGTGAGGATTGTTGCATCACTCAAGTCCAGTCATTCAACTGGAGAAGATGAGATGAATACACATTTGCTAAAAAAAAATATAATTGGAAGTAAAATTAAGCCCCTCGTTTACATAATCAATCTGTCATTGATCTCTGGTAGTTTTCCCTCAATGATGAAAATTTCGAAAGTAATACCCATTTATAAGAAGGACGATGCTATAGTCCATTCAGTAATTATCGGCCTATCTCAATACTTTCATGTTTTTCTAAAATATTACAACGACTCGTTTATGATAGACTATATACATTTTTGACTGACAACAGTTTACTTAATAATGTTCAGTATGGATTCAGGAAATTTCATTCAACAGAAATTGCTATTATAAAATTATATGATAGGGTATTATCTGCCTTAGCCAACACGAGCATGTTATAGGAGTTTTCATGGATTTAAGTAAAGTGTTTGATACCCTGGATCATAACATATTTCTACACAAGCTTTACCATTACGGGATACGTGGTGTACCTTTAAATTCTCGCTACCCCAAATAGCGATTCTGCCGAGATCCGGGGAAAATCCTGAAAACGCGCATTGCATTATGGGATAGCTTTTCGACATTACAGCTTCCTGTGCAGGCGCGCGATAGCGCAAACGTAAAACGCCGTCGCCACACAACGTGTATGCACCGAATATGTCGTCTGCTCGGTCTTTTTTTTTTTCGCAAATATTTCAACGTTTATTTGAACATTTCATTTGTTGTTTTTTGCGTCTTTTGACATCAGTGACGATGGTTTTCTTTTGTGAGGCTGCACAGTGCTGGGCTCATGATTCCAAGCGTAAGAACCCTGAAAAATGGGGGTGGATGAAGGCCGTGACTTGGGATGGGACTCTATACCGGAAGTTGTAGTGACGACCCGAGAGAGTGAAAATTACCTCGTCTCGCGAATTTCGAGATTTTCGTACCTATTTAGGGTAGCGAGAATTGGTTTCGTAGTTACCTTTCTTGTTGAAGTCAATATACAATATTTGATAATGCCAAATCGACCATGTCATCAGTTACGTAGTGCCCCAGGGCTCTATTTTAGGGCCGCTTCTTTTTTTAAAAATTTATTTCAATGATATCTCTAATGTCTTTTCCTTACTACAATATATATTATTTGATGATGACGCTAATATTTTTTGCTCTAATTCCAACCTAGATAGTCTTGTTCAAACACTAATACTGAATTGCCAAAATTATCTAACTGTTTTAAATGCAATAAATTATCATAGAATTTGGGTAAAACTAACTTCATCCACTTTAAAACTCGTGCTCTTCCTCAACAAACTAATGTTTCATTAAAGATAATTAGCATCTCCATTCAACAAAAGAAAAACACCAAATTCATAGGCATTTATATTGATGAGTACCTGTCTTGGCATGAACACGTCTCGTTATGTTGGTGGTATGTACAAGTTAAAGCCTTTTGTTCCACTTAGTATTTTGTTCATTATTTACAATTCTTTCATTCATTCACGTATTTATTACTGTAACATTGTATGGGCCATTAATATATTAAATACTGATGGTATCTTGAGATTGCAAAAGAGAGCCATGATACTTTGTTGTGGCTCTGGGTACTTTGATCACACTGACCCATTATTTTTCAAATTGAGAACTCTGAAAGTTACTGATATGCATTTTATGCGAATTGCAGTGTTCATGTACCGACTTAATAAAAAAGAACTGCCTTTATCATTTTGTAACGATTTTACTCTAAATAGAGACATTTAGAACTACCCAACCAGACATTCTTCTGATTTCCATTTGTTTACGCCAAGGAGTGCTTTAGCCCAAAGATCAATTAGATATGTAGGTCCTGACATTTGGGACGCTTTGCCACCTGAAATACGAGCATGTAATAACCTATTGTTATTTAAAAAGAAAATTAAGGAACTATTTCTCTCAAAATATACTTGTTAACTTTTGAGATACATTTTGTATAGTGCTAGTTATGTCAAGAAGAGGTAATGTGTATTTCCTTGTTTTTGCTTGTGATTCAAATACGTTAAGGGGCACGATTTTTGTATTTTGTTTTATTTTTGTAACGACAGAATGCCTTATTTTAAGCCATGTTACCAAAGAAGTATCAACTATGTTTTCTTAGGGATTTTGCGCTTCAAATATTATTTGGTTATGCATTGTTCCTACTATGTATTATATATCAATTCAACCCACTGTATTTTATTATCTGTAAACAGTTATTTTACATGGTGAAAAAAAAAAAAAAAAACTCCATTCACCCATCCCTCCCTCCTCTCTCTCTCTCTCTCTCTCTCTCTCTCTTTTTCCCTTTCTTTCCCTCTCCCCTCCCTCTTTATCTCTCTCTCTCTCCCCATCTTTTTTCTGTCTCTCTTGTTATTCTCTTCTGATGCTACCTCCTTCATTATCTCATTCTACTTTAATATCCATCAATGTTGAATATTCAAATACTTTGTGAAAATGAGATTCAAATAACATGCATGTACAGCGTCTTTCCAGTTGCAAGTCTTTGATCGATGAGCTCGTTGAGTTGTGTATTTTTTGTTCATAGTACTCATAATAGAATAGTATTAATGAACACGCATCACATGATGTTTTAGTAGCTTTGAGCTCATTTAATACCATCCCAGTTTGGCAAAGACATAAACCACATAATAATAATATACATACAAGTATAGTCATTTGTTTAAATAGTGTCATAGCCTTTCAGGCGTATCAAAGTTGCTGTAAAATATACATGAAACAAAATGATTCTAAAATGTAATCACATAAAGAATCTAAAAATATAAAATGTAGCTACACAAACAAATTATAAGAATGATGTCTGTCATTACTTAATTATATTCCGACACATGCGGAGTCATTTCCATCTAAAGATTGTGTAATTCGAATCCTTTCAGGGGATGTCGGGTGGAGTATTATATGCTTTTCAATGTTAAACGTCCGAATCTTCATGGCATTTTGATTTTGAAAATGCTAGTTAAAATATCGCCAATATTCAGGCAAAGTACCTCTATATCCTTCTCCCCTGTGTAAACTTATCAGAACTTTTTTTCTACCCTCAAACACTTGTTTGCCGAATAGTAGAATTTTATTGCTTTCTGTTTATTGGACATGTTGATGATTAAGTAATCAGATGTTGTATAATACTGAGTTTTTATATTATTAAAAATCGGAAGAGAATATGCTACTGTAGATCGTATAAAGTACCGTGAGCATTACATAAAATCGGTACGTATATCATGATATACACTAATCATGTCAAAAATCTAAACACGTGATATATGAATAAAGGGATGAATAAATACGTTGTTCTGATAAGTTATGGCCCAAATTTACACTGACGACCATGTTTTACAATCAGAATGGAAGAAAAAATTGGTCGAATGTGACTATTAAGTAATTCAGAAAACGAAATAGTATCTAATATTTCAACGAATGTCCATCAATCTAGGTATCTACATTATTTTGAACCATAAAAACATGATTATTTGAAACGTTACTTCGAACAGTATTTTACTACATTGCACAAAATAGAAAAAGGGAAAGTGAATATAGGTATTCCGGTATGATACTTAACTAGCATGTACACTAAGGAAAATAGTGACAAAGACGGGTTGTATCAAAACTCTGTTTCCAATATTGTACATACTCGTCGAATCCATACAGGACGCAAAAACTCTACATTACAAGAAGAAGAAATCGAGCACCTTTAAAATACAATATTACAAATAATATATAAGTAAGCGACTTGATAATTGCTTATTGAAAGACCAAATCCCACTCGATGCAAACCAATATATCGGTCTATTAATCTTGTTAATTACCAGTGCGTAGGAGCCGACGTTTATATCTTCGTTTTATACAAAGTGAAGTCAAAGTTCGGAGAAAAAAGGGCTTCCTCCTTTGAAAATCGTAATCAGTTTGATCTGTTGGGTAAAATGGACTATTCCATTTTGTCCTGTAAAGTTTATTCGACTGAGAGCGGTGAACTTGGAGGAGAACAGCAGGAGGAATCGCTTAAAAAGTTATCCTTGGCTTTGGATCTGAGGGCATCGATACTTTTCTTTTTCCTTGCTTCTTCCTCCATTCTCCTTCCTTTCTCGGCAGGCGACATGTAGAGTTTCGGGATGGAGATTGGAAGGGAATGGGAGAGCTTGGCGCCGTCGTGAGCCGCTGCTGCGCCTGCCCAGCTAACAAAGTCCATCGCCCTGCGTCCGGTGCTAAATATATCAGCGTCAGGAGTGGGATGTAATGCGAAGTGGGGAGCCTCGCTACCACGCAGAACTCCTGCCAGGTAAGGATTGGCCATCCAAAGGGGAGGGGGCGCTGTTGAAAGGGTAGAGGGTAATCCGAGGCCGAAGGCGTTGCCTGGGAGTGGCATTCCTGTCATCCCTCGGTTCGAGAATGCCATTAAGGATGCAGGGTGACAGGGCCTGTCTGTCGGATGAAACAAGGGATCTGCAATCTTACTCATCTCGACGGGATAGGGTTTACCAAAACCACCAAAACTACAAGGACTCTTGCGGTCGAAGAGCTTTTCCTTCTTTCGCCACTTGGCCCGTCGATTCTGGAACCAAACCTAAAGATAGCAACAAAAAACAAAAAGAGTTTATATTACATAGGTTGTTCAAGTGAGTTGTAATGATATGGCAAAACAAAATACTGACGATTATAGAACAATAGTATCAGACATTCGTGTGACACGCTCGGCACAATAAAATGTTTTCATTTGTAAATAGACAGCTTTATTGCAAGACCGCATGGTGCTGGCAAAGGTACATACAGTGTGAGTCAGAAAAAAGTTTACACCTAGAAAATTGCTAATTATTTTTAAAAAATCATCTATGACCAGTAAACTATTATACATCTTATGAAAGAGTGTTTTATCCCAAAACATTTGGTATCGTATTTGTGTGGTATGTGTTCACGCTTGAATGAACAACAAATCGTCTTCTTTCTCTAATAATTTATTGAAATGTCAAAGCTTCCGCGCTTCGCGGAGGAGGGAGGGGGAAAACTCACCCCTCCCTGCACCCACCCACCCCTGATTACGTCACTGGCTTGCATAATTTGGCTCGCATAATTTCAAATTTGGGCCTCCCCCCCCCCCCCCCCTAAGAAATCCTGGATCCGCACCTGAACGAGTGTATAAAGTCGTGGTAGTTTAATGGTTAAGCTCTTGCTTATTTTGTAGGAGTGTAACGCCAATTAGTAACACAATCGAAAGGATATAGTAACTGCCATATGGCTTCATTTTTCAATTATTTAATTAATATGACAACCTTTAAAGTAGATATTCATTGATTTTAAAAACTAACTTTATTTTCATTATTGCATAGTTGAAACTTTGATTCGACAAGGTTATCAAAATTCAATGCTTGGAAACATTCGAAGTAATGATTCTTATAAATTACAAAACGCTTAAATACAGCCGCGGCATAGTACCTGAAGAGCTCTCCGAACGCTGCGGAGTTATGTGAGATCACAGTATGGACATGATTTGCACAAGCAGACGATGTCCCATGACATTTCACATATTTTCAGTGCCTGTGTTTTCATCTTTACTTGAGTTCTTTCTCTTACTTCACTACCGTCAGGCTAAATGTATAATCTATTGCCTCACTGTAAACCCCGCGCATGGTTTTATTTTGATGACAAATGCAGCGATACCAAAATAAAGGAATCTGTCGCTTGTAAACAAAATAAGAGGGAACAAATGCCGTCCTTAATATCATTCCGGGGGTTTTTTAATTTGAAAGACTGGTTTCTTTGATTGTTAATTAACTCCTATCCTGTGTATTTACAAGCTAAAGATTTTAGTTATCAGAATCGGGTCACATCCCCTTTTGAACGGTTTGACATGCCATTACATTTATATACACTTAACTCATTATAATTTGACAAATAATAGCTTTGCAATTATGTTCATTCTTTATGGGATGTCGTCTGCTTGGGCAGTATTGGTCCATATAGTGACGTCATTAAAACATCGTTATTTTTCCGGCGAATCTCTCGTATATCCCAGTTGCTATGGTTGCATTTTTTTTATTTGTATAAATCACTTGATATGAAGGTGCCCTAAAACTAGTACGATGGCCATCTGTTAGCTTACCAGTTTCTAGTGATACATTAGTTGACATATTTGTGATTTTCTTTGAATTTGACCTTTAAAATGTTGTAAGTTATCTTTCCTTTTATAGTGCTTCAGAAACTATTTCTTCCGAAGTGCGCAAAAACATGTTTTCAAATATAATGACATGATGACGTTACAAAAAATTGTCTGACATAGGAAGGAACGCACATGGCTAAACTTCTGCAATATAGTAGTAATAGTAGTAGTAGTAGTATATATTTTTCCGTTTGATTAAAAAAATACATATAAAATGCATGCCATATCGGCGAGACCGGCACGAGGCAGTCAAGGACCGAACCGAAAAACATCTACCCAATGGCAAGATTCTTTCGACTAGTGTTGGCGTCGGTGTTGTGTTGGTTTGGTTTGGCGGTATGATTGGGGTATAAACGGCGTTGGATGTATCGCAGGTTGCCTTCACAATCTATCAAAATACAGGGGGTTGCAAGCGTTTTACAATTTGGTCTGTTTTTAAACCGAGCGCAAAGACTTTCGAAAACTTAATTTAATGTAATTTGTGTTGCCTCGTCCGACTATTAGAATATGCGACTTTCAGAAATAAAGCATAATTGGGTGATCCTTTATAGGCCTATATGATTTATATGGAATATAATTTAAAAAGGATTGAAATTGCCCTTGAATTGATATTTCGAAAGCCTTTGCGATCATCTCATTTTACCCACATCTTGCTTATAAACAACCCTCATTATAACTTATTTAATAACTTACCGACTACACCCTTTTCTTTGTGGCAATGTAATTATCACATACACTTTTATAAAGTTGAATTAAAATTTCGTTTTAGGAGGTAGAAGTTTGAAATCTAATTTGGCATCTTTGCCTTTTATTTTCACTCACATATTGAAGGATTTATTTGTATTTATTTCCATGATGTGGGAAGGAGGGTACATATTTTCTTCTGCTTTGTTTTTCTTCTTGTTTCTTTCATGATGCTCTTGTATATGATCATTATATTTAATTAGTGTGATATATCTGTTTCGTTCTTTATATTTAAAGTTTTACAATCAATGTACCATATTTATTAAAATATATATTTTACAATTTTTACCTGGACTCGTGATTCGCTGAGGTCCAATCGAAGGGCCAGTTCCTCTCTCATGAAAACGTCTGGATACTGGGTCATGTCGAAGGCTCTCTCCAACTGATGCAGCTGGAATGTGGTGAAGGTGGTCCTAGATCGCCGGAGCTTCCGGCAGGAACCGTCACCGAAACCCTCATCCGCTGCGTTGACCTCATCGGCTAACATCATCGTTCGGTCGACGTCGACCGCGGTGGCGAATTCGGAGTCGAGGGATGACGTTGATGATGAATGCGTAGATGATGTGGGTGAGATGAGTGCTGGGTTGATGTGAGGGATGTTTGATGATGGTAGGATGCGTGGTGTAGGTGAGGACATTGTCAGGGGTGGTGGGATGCAGCGCGGTCGTCTGGATGCTGATGATGCTGATTTTACTGATGTCTTATCATCCATATCTCGATCACCTGTAGACAAATGAAGTGATTTTGAATTTGAAGATTATTATTTTGTTCCACATTTTCATTGACCATCTCAGATTCATAAACTGCATAGTGACCAAACAAAACGGGTAGATAACTTGGATCAATTATAATGTATGGTACATAGCAAGGTGTTTCGAGAGAAGTGTAGATACAACAGGCAATATGATTTTTTTTTTTTTTTAGTGTGACGAGTCTACATAAAAAGCAAAGCCTGTTCAAGATCAGGCTCCAGTGAATAGTAGTGTTATAAAGTCTAATGAATATTCAGTAAGAGGCGACAGGGTAAAACAGTACCAAATTTAAGAAACGTGAAAGGAGATCAAACCGCGAGGTAAGGAAAGAAAAGAAAAAGTGGAAGGAGAAATTTCTTTAGTTTTCATTTGAAATAGAACGAAGAAACTTTACACCTGCTTCCAATTCATCTCTTTTATGATGTGATCATGCTTTTGTTTGTCATTGTCTAGTTTCTATTTCTATTTGATTACGTCTTATTTGATTAAAAAGTCACTTTTTTTATCTACGATATCAATTTTTATCATAAAATAACTTAAATGAGAAGTGCAATAGTCAACAAATACTCCTGTAACTGTCTAGCAAGTAGCAACTATCTATTTCCTATCGATATTATTATGGTACAATTGTTAATGTTGATGTTTATGTAGTTGTTATATTTGAAGATAATATCTGTTTCCTATAATATAAACAAGTATATAAGCATGACGAGTTGAAAAATCAAGCAAAAACGGCACACATTACAAAGCGCAGATTCGTTCACAAACACAGTACTTAGGATGTCAATAATAACCACCTTGGTATGCAGTGTGGCTGAGTTGAAATCATGATGAATTTATTAATTTGTTGAAGCAGTCGAGTATCAGGGCAGTTTATCACACATAAAATCAATCTAACTACACTTACGCATTAGCTCAAATCGGTAAGAGACTTGAGAGGACCGTATGCTCGTTTATAGCGTGCGGGTAAATGGTGATATATTTCCTGATATACTATATGGATAAACAACTTTAAAATTACACTGGAGAATAGTTTTGCATCGCTTAGCTATCACAAAAAGAATGTCAGTATTTCAATTTTAATGGTGATATATTTTCTGATAACTATATTGATAAACAACTTCAAAATTACACTGGAGAATAGTTTTGCACCGCTTAGCTATCACAAAAAGAATGTCAGTATTTCAATTTTAATGGTGATATATTTTCTGATATAATATATTGATAAACAACTTTAAAATTACACTGGAGAATAGTTTTGCATCGCTTAGCTATCACAGAAAGAATGTCAGTATTTCAATTTTAATGGTGATATATTTTCTGATAACTATATTGATAAACAACTTTAAAATTACACTGGAGAATAGTTTTGCACCGCTTAGCTATCACAAAAAGAATGTCAGTATTTCAATTTTAATGGTGATATATTTTCTGATAACTATATTGATAAACAACTTCAAAATTACACTGGAGAATAGTTTTGTACCGCTTAGTTATCACAAAAAGAATGTCAGTATTTCAATTTCAATGAGAGTATAATGTGCTTATGCTTACTTTGAAGCAATGTAAATTTCCCCTTTAATAAACAGGATAAACGAATTTACTTTGCGAAATGTATTCAAATAAACCATTGATTTTTTTTGTAATAGAGGATTTAAACAAAAAATAGTATTGTATTCATAGAAAATTAAGTAAATAAAATCTGTTTATTATGTTTAAGTGAAATTAAACTGATCTACCGCATTTATATATAAGAGCTTGTGTATCTAAATTTTGCTATATAAGATGTTGTAGATAATTAATGGTAATCAGTCCGTTTGTCCTAATACCACAAACAAATGAATTTGTAAATTTCGTCTCATAGTGATGAAACTGAATTGACATATCTACTTTTTTTACTAGTATGAATGTTGTCATGTTTGTCGCACCTTCAGCAAGAAGGTGATAAACATTTGGCGATATTTTTTTCATCAACTATACAACTCGGACGAAACATAGAATTTAATGTTATTGAGTGTTAAATGAAGACACATTTTAATTATATCTATTATTGACGATTATATTCATTATTTCATATTGACTTTGGATACAATAATTAGTCGCGAGAAATATTTGTACGCACAAACTGTTTCACAGTAATTACACAGAGTATACACAAGGATAACGCAATAAAGGTGATCAGCTTTCTGTACTCCTATTTACAACAAAAAATGGTAATCTCATGGTAACAATGCAATCCGGACTTTTCGAAAGATCATCAGGTTTTGTAAAAGCTGATTTGCCGTATGTTCTTTGCTAAATCATATCCTCCCTTTAATTATCCAAGGATATTTGTTAGACCATTTTTTTTTTAACTTAAGGAAAGAAAGAAGAAAAAATAACTTACCCTTCGATTCAAAGTCGTAGACATCAAGCCCATGGTGATCTCTTCTGCAGCTAACAGTAACATCATCCTGATCAACATGTTCACCACGGTTTCCCAGGCGGACCGGTGAGCGGTCTCTGGCTATCTCTTCCCGATTGGATTTCTCAAGATCAGGGGCTTTTCGTCCGAGAAGAAAGTCAATGGAGTAGTTACTTGGACCATGGTACGGAGTGGTGGGTAAGATGGTCTGCGGGACTCTCACCGATAAACCCACTGGGACTCGAGATTGGGTAGGAGGAACAACGACCGCCGTCATTCTGGGGGTAACTCCAACGAAGTAATGAAAATTGAATTAAAAATGAACGGGACAAGTCCAGTGTTTAGGAACTATAATCGAATCAAGGCGAAGAGAACATGTTATTTTATCTCAAGATCTCAAGTTAAACGAACTGAAAGCGAGTTGCCGATGAACATAAACGCCTTGAAAGCAAGTGAGAATAAATGTTCAATAGCGAAATTCAAAGTCAATCCTAAACTTGGTAGTTGTTGTCGGCAGGACTAGCGAACCCTGAAATGAAACAAAACATTACCAGTAGCTCTTCTTGTACCATCCAATTCACTTCCTACTCCCAATATACCGTATGTTCAGCTAGCAGAAAAGGATACTTGAAAAAGAAAAGTTGTCAAACTTGCGGGCATGTGCCAATCAAACGGCGCAGCTCCGAATGTGGGGGACGGGCACCTATTCAGCAAATAGACTACTATTGTGCGTCCGACAATAGTAGATTAGTAGATCTGAATGGACCGTTATCAATAGTCCATACCCTGAGTGGCAGGCTTGGTCCTTTTGCGCGACTTGTCTGAGGCTGATTTGGTCTTCTTTGGATGATAATAAGAGAAGGTGGAAGCACTTTCGAGCTGGTTCGATGACTGGGAGAATAGACGAGGAGGGGGATAAAGTAAAGTGTTGGTTTATATAATAGGCTTTGGACTGAGTCAAGTTGATGGTGTCGCCAGGACAGTGTGGTAGCCCGACACCCCCCGTCAATAGCCCACTTAGCTACCATTCAAAAACGTAGAGAGCGCTAATGACGTATCATCATTATCTCTCTTTGTTCGATTGATTACCTTAATGAAAACATTGTGAGGGCGTTTTATGCATTGACAAGTCGATTGAAAATTTTTAAAAAAGTGGGATCGTGCAGAGAAGGAAAGAAGGATGACTGGAAAATTAGGAGAGGGATGGAAACGAAAGGGAGGGGACCGGATCCGAAGTTCATTAACCCCACACAAACTCAACCATGGGCATGGCAATTGAAGAGAGTTTAAAGTCAATTAGTGATTGGTGCTAGCAGTAGCATCCCAATTTAGGAGGCTTATAATTTGTGGTATTCTTTACTGCGGAGTGAAATCATAATTGACAGGGTTGATTAACCGATGTCTCTAATCTTAATTTAAATCCGATTGATAATGGTTAATAGGATAGGAAACAAGCGAGGCTTGATTATTGGAAGTGCCGGGGATTAATTTGGGCCCAGGAATTGTCCGGTTATTTAAAATCCATTCTATCCTCCCTAATTTTCATATTTTCTCCGTCTTTTAAAAAATGTTGCAAATGACCTATTTCATGATTATTTGACAATAGTATATTGCGGATCGCATCTTCAAGAATGTTCTGAATGTTTGACTCATCACCATAGCTCTTTTGGATATCTCGTCAATGTAACCATGATAATGATTGGAATCGGATCAACAGCCTCCTCTTTAATTTGTCCTCTTTGAATATACACCCCGCCCCCTATCCCCACCCCTGTTTGTAAATTGTAAATCTCATTTTGCGATAACGTGATGGAATTCTGAATCATTATTTCTCAGTTCCGCTGTCCCGTCATTATTTTGATTCCAAATCAATTGGATTTCTCTATACGCTTTCCACTTATTACTACTTTTTTAATTATTAGTTGATAAAGATTTGAGTCCCATTTCATTACATTTACATACGTTGGCCATACATGTATCTTCCTGCCTTGGAATTCCAAGCAAAGGACGCCTCGTTTACATCGTTTCAATTTTTAGTCTTTAAGAAACATGCAAAAGAAATGATCAACTCGAAATTACCATCAATGATATTTAAATCATTGTCATGCTCTTCTAACAACCAAAAATATCGAAAATGGTTGTGCGTTTTCATTTTATGTTATTTTGATATTTCTGTATCAAGCAAACAAACAGACAAACAAACAAACAAACACGCACATGCATAGATACACGACCAGCCTGTCATTGAAGAGTTGAAAATACTCAATTTACAAAACAATCGGAAACAGGTGCAATATTCAATCAGCATAGAAATCATAGCCAATACAGAAATTAATCACCAATATCTAAATAGTTTTCCAAGTGGCTTTGAGTAAATAAGAAGAGCGTCAATTAATTACATAATCGTCAGCCAAAATATTCTACTTAGCAGATAATTATAGTAAAAAGTCAAAGTAGTTCTGTAAAAACAAGCTTCAATTAGTAAATCCTATTAAAAAAGAAACGGTCAAACAAACAATCGCAGTGAGAGAGAGAGAGAGAGAGGGGAAAAACACAGAAAAGGAAACTAGGTAGACAAAAATAATCATAGAAACGTACTTTTGCATTACTCATTTAGTCCATTTATATTGTTCCGAAGATCATTTACATATGCACACGCATTTTATTTTGATTATCACAAATTTGTCATAACCTATCCAAAGTCATACTTGGTACGATGGCATTTGATTTCATTTTTCCCTGATGACTAAACTAAACTTTATTATACAATAAGAGATTTTTAGTAAGAGCTTTTCAAGTATCTTGGTATATGTATACAGGGGCGTCGCTAGACCTTTTTCAGTGGGGGGTGAAGAGGCCAACGATTACCGATAAAAATAGCCACCAATTACCGACAAAATTAAATGTCCAAATATTTACAAATTTAACCCTATAAACCCGGGGCCGAAGGCTAAATTGTTTTTTCCTATGGACTATCTATAGTACTTGCGTATGCGCAAATGGTCATTTTCCTCGACGACATAAATATACGAATTATTTCGTCAACTTAGTCAACATCATAGCTATATATTTTAATGCAGGCGCGGAGCTAGGATCTTATTTAAGGAAGGGGCGGTAGTGAGCAAGCGAATCACTTAAAGAGCGCGCTAGGGGGTGTCGGTGTAAGGCCTCCCGCGCGAAGCGCGGAAGCTTAGACGTTTCCTTAAATTATTAGGAAAAGAAGACGATTTATTGTACCGTTCTCGACTGTTAATCCTTGTCTGAATGAAGTTTCCCCCTCCCTCCCACGCGAAGCGCGAAAGCTTTGACGTTTCATTAAATTATGAGAAAAAGCAGACAAATAGGTGTAGGCCTACTGTTCTCGACTCTTAATCCTTATCTGAATTCAGTTTTTTTCCCCTCCCGCGCGAAGCGCGGAAGTTTTGACTTTTCATTAAATTATTAGAGAAAGTAGACGATTCTTTAAACCGTGCTCGACTCTTAATCCTTGTCTGAATTCAGTTTCTCCCCCCTCCCGTGCGAAGCGCGGAAGCTTTGACGTTTCATTAAATCATGAGAAAAAGCAGACGATTCGGTGTAGGCCTACTTTTCTCGACTCTTAATCGTTATCTGAATTCAGTTTTTCCCCCTCCGGCGCGAAGCGCGGAAGTTTTGACGTTTCATTAGATTATTAGAGAAAGTAGACGATTCGTTGAACCGTGCTCGAGTCTTAATCCTTGTCTGAATTCAGTTTCCTCCTTTAGCGCGAAGCGCGGAAGCTTTGCCGATTCCTTAAATTATAAGAGAAAGCAGACGATTCGTTTTACCGTTTTCTACTCTTAATCCTTGCCTGAATTCAGTTTCCCCCTTCCAGCGCGGAGCGCGAAAAGCTTAGACCTTTGATTTAATTATTACAGAAAGAAGACGATTCGTTGCACCGTTTTCGACTCTTTTTAAGCCCTATTCATCTGAATTCAGTTTCCCTCTCTTGCGCGAAGCGCGGAAGCATTAACGTTTCCTTAAATTATTAGAGAACGAAGACGATTCGTTGCACCGTTTTCGACTCTTGATAAGCCCTCTTTGTCTGAATTCAGTTTCCACCTCTTGCGCGATGCGCGGAAGCTTTAACGTTTCATTAAATTATGAGAAAAAGAAGACTATTCGTCGTACCGTTGTTGACTCTTAATCCTTGTTTGAATTTAGTTTCCCCGAAATTTTTAAACCTCGGATTTCTTTAGCTGATATTATAGGAAAGTGAAACTTCGAGAAAATACAAGTATTGTAGTTATAGTCAATCTCGAAGTCGTCACAGCGAACAAAAAGTCACAGTTCGTAGGAAAAAAAACTTGTCGGCCGACCGACAATATACATGTCACTGACTTCAAACTTCTGCATTGATATAGTACACGAGGATCGAGCAAAAATACCAACACAGCTGACCCGACACAGCAACATATTTACCCGTGTCTTTCTTGCTTCCTCGACGAGACGACTCCACCCAACAACCCCCCCCCCCTCTCTCTTTTACTCTCACTCCTCCTCTCTCAGGCTCTTACCTCCCCTCTCTCCTTTCTTTCATCCCCCGTTTCTTTTGTTTCCCTTTTTTCTTTTTTCTTCTTTTTTTCCTTTTCTTTCTTTTCTTTCTTTTCCTTTCTTTCCTCTCCTCCCTCTTTTTCTTTTTTTTTCTTTCTTTCTTCTCTTTTCTTTTCTTTCTTTTCCTTTCTTCCCTTTCTTTTCCTTTCTTTCTTTTCTTTTTCTTTTCTTTTTTCTATTCTTTCCTTTCCCTCTCTTTTTCCCCCTCCCCCTTTTCTCTTTTTTCCCGACGGCAGCGCAATTTTACCGACAATATCCTGACAGGTGGGGGTGTCGCACCCCCACCCCCTCCTTTGGAGACGCCCCTGTATGTATAGGCGTCTCGTTCACTTGACTCTCAATCCCAGAGTCGAGGGTTCAATGCCAGCCAGGCACTAATGTCCTTTGGCAAGACATTAATCCACATTTGCCACTCTCCACCCAGGTGTAAATGGGTACCTGGCAATTACTGGTGTAATAATAATTGCAGGGCACTCAGGAAAAACAGTATTGATACTGATGAGGCTTCAAACAAAATGATTGTTACTATTATTATTATTTTTATTATTAATATCATCCGCATTTTTCAATCCGGCTTGCTCGATATTCTCGTCCTACAAAAAAGAAGTAGATACCCATGACTTTTATTGGCCATTGTTACAAAATAACAAGCAATTTTAATTAGCACCTCAACCGAAAACGTTTGCTTTTCTGTTGAAAACTGTACGGCTTCTATAAATGTTTTGAATTTCGCCAAAAGTAATGTGAGGTTTCATAAATCAATTGAAGTGCTTCTTAATTAGAGGGCGATTGATCGAGGCGGAAAAAAGGGGCAGACAAAGAATCTGAGAACCATTTTAGGAGGGATTCATTGCGCGGCGGATTGCATGGGAGGAGAAACAAAAGCCTCACAGACAAAATCTCAATCCGGAATCATCGCATTATGCCAATCACTGAAAAGGCCTTAATTTG